CTAGTTTTTATACGCGGTATAGGAAATGCTATGGGAAACTTTATTTTACCTGTATTAGATTTCAAGGTTTCATGACACCATAATAAAAGGATGATCACCTGGTTGTATTGATTATGCAAGCTAAGTAATAAAGCCCAACAAGCTGAGTAATAAAGTCATTTTTAAAAAAAGAACATATAAAAAAGTAATCTAAAAAAGGATCTAGTTTTACTCTCAATAGACAATCACAAAAACCATAATTTGTAAACCATTGGATATAAAATAGATGTACAATAGATGTTTTTATATTATTGTACATAAGATGAACATCAGCTGTTACTGCATTGTTGTTTGATAGATGAACATCAGATGTTATTGTAATTTTAATTGGTAAATTTATTGATTAACTTGTACAAAATACGTGGAAAACGATCGCAATTCAAAGTTTAGTATGTTTAGTGATACCAGCATATTTGGTTAGAAAGATTCCTGCGGATTTTTCCACTTCTGAAAGACATCTTTTTTAATGAATGTTTTTTGTAATGACAAATTTCAACGCCCTGAAGTAACCCAGTGGGCATTTCGACGTCGAACAAACGTCGAGCGACGTCGGGTCTCGACGTCGGATCGACGTTGGGTTTACGTTGGAAATGGAAATGTTGTTTGACGTCGGATAAACTAACATTGTGCGACGTCGGCATTCTGATGTTAATGCAACGTGTTTTTTGTAAACTAACAAATGTTGCCTCAGGCAGAAATCGAACCCCGATCTATTAGATTCTAAATCCTACGCGCTTTCCACTACACCACGGGGACATAGTATTTAAAGTGTTTATTTAGTAATATATACTTATAGCTATTTGGGAATTATTACTTTGATAAGAAATAATTTTGTTTTAATATTACATAAATATTAAAACGAACGGTTATATTTTTAAAAAAATATATACTCAAAAATGCTAACGATTTAAAAACTTTGCTAGTGCAGCATACAAAACCTCATGATGTTTTATCAACCATTATTTAAACTAGCTTCCATTAATAAGAAACAAATTTGGTACACATTTTTATTAAAGAGCGCAATTGTACACAAAGCGCTGGGTTTGTATATAATTTTCATCAGCGATGTTTCACGACGTCGTCCGACGTCTTTTTATTGACGTTGAAACGACATCTAAATCACGACATCTTTTTCATGACGTCGGAATAACGTTAAAAGACATCAAAACGACGTCGGGGGATGTCGAGATATTGACGTTGCTCCGACGTCATTGGAACAACGTCGGAATAGGTTTGTTGACGTCGCTGATGAAAATCCAACGTAAATCCGACGTCGGATTGACGTCGGGTGCCCACTGGGAACTAATTGTTTTTGTGACAAAAAAATTCAGAATAGCTGCTTTTTGATGATTCTTATCAAATTGTTTTTATAGCAAGTTCTTTTTATATTTGAAGACATGGTTATACAAAAACTAGAAAAAATAAAAATGAGTAAAATCTAAAAGTTATTTGTCCTACAATCAAAGTATAACACCTGAATCTACGAGACAGCTTCAAAAAGCGTCGTAGTTCTACCTTTTAAAAACAAGAAAAAGTAAAAAGTCCAAGATTCCCTCTGAAACTCTAGTAAAAAAGAAAAAGTTCTTATATTTTACGCAAGAAAAGACTTTTAAATGTCTTGAAGAATTTCAAAACTAGAATTTTTTGAAGTTTTACCTAAATCCTTGAAAACCTAAATGAAAACGAAAAGTACTTTAGTTTATGCAATTCAACACATTTTTTTTTTTGTCAAGCTTTACTTTTTACACATTTTTTTTGTAAAAACTCAAATTTTGTTGGTTGTGAAGATTTTTTAACACACACACACACAGTATCGTTGTTTAATCTTAATTAAACGATGATGGTTTTGTTTCGTAAATTATCCAAAAAAAGAAATGTGATTAAAATAATCAAATATTTTTTTATATATGAATATAGTTTTAATGTTTAAAGTTGCTTTCCTCTCCTCCAACATGAAGAACAAAAATGTTTTTAGTCAAAATAAAAATACTAAAATTGGAATTATTTAAGATGATAACTTTAAAGTAATAACAATATGTACTGTGTTCCGTGGATACACATACACAAAGAAAGAGAGCTAGAATTACCGCAACCTGGTCCACGAAGAGTCTGCTACATGCAGGCTCTTCATATTCTACGCAAAATACATGTATTCTGCAACCTAATGAAGAGTCTGTATTAACCTAAGGTGAGGACTAAGTCACGCTATCGCCTAGCTCTCTCTCTAAGCATAAATAATTGTAATATATAAAAACACATTTATAAATAAATGTGTTTTTATATATTACAATAAACTTCAAACTTTTAAGATTAAAAAGATTAAATTTTTTCTTATATTTATCAAACATTGAAAATCATCTTTAACAATGTTTATGTTTTTAACTTTTACTTTTGAAACTACAACATGTAAAACAGTTAGTTGTTTTACATAAGGATTATCTTATTTGTTAAAAACCTTTGAGTTAAGTGTTGTTTGTTTTTTGTAATCCATGTTTGTTTCTTCTCGTGTTAGAATTGGATTAGAATTTACCTTAAGTATGATAAGTTTTTTAATATTGACATTTTTATTCTACAATATTTTTTCTTTATCTTAATTTTATCCACTCTCAAAATAAAATGTTCGAGATCAGTGATTTTAACTAAAATCTTTTAAAACAATTTTTTTAGCACGTGGGCAATAGATTGGTTATTTATATATTCATTATTGAAGATACATTTTCTTTCGAGTCAAGGATTGCGGTGCTAGTTTTGAAGGACCAACAAATTATTACATATATATTTTTTTATTTTATATTATACTTTATATTTCATTTTTAAAAGTATGGGTGGCGGGGGAAGTGGGATCCGCGATACCACGACCCTTGTGCGTATAACGTCCCAATGTAAGCTTTTATGTTTTATGTTTTTGTCTCGCTTAGTCTCAGTAACCACAAACAACAATATTTCTGGTCTGCAACATCTGTTTATTCACTTAACACTTTTAACAACCTGTTTGTTTACACAACTTTTTTTTATTTGCGTCACACTATTATCAGAGTTCTGAAAAAGCGATTTCAATAAAAGCCAGGTTATGGTAGATAATTGTAAAGTTATTTGTTTAAGAGTATCTTTCAAATTAGTTCTGAAGTTTTTAGTCCATAGTATTATCAACAATTTTTACTTTTGAAAAATGAAAGTTCAATATTTCAGTATAATTTTCCGATTCACCAAACATTTTTTTATACTTATGTATAAACGCATGCAATTTAGACAACAGATACAAAACAAATTTTTATCAATGTTACAGTTAAGATATATACTTAGATTAGGAAATAAACTAAAATAGATTTAAAATTATAGATCTAACTGGAAGTATATTAGGCCGGGTGAATAAAAATAAGAGATTGCTCTTACTCAGTAATTAGTCAGCTTTACGCGAATAAAAACTTTATGAATTTGACTTGAGTTTGTATTTACGTAAAGCGGAGCAGTTATTGAGTGAATTGCTTAACTTTACGTGAAAAAATATTTAAGCAAAACTCCTAAAGTCTTTATTCACGTAAAGCTGACCAATAACTGAGTAAAATTTTTATTCATCCGGCCTATTAACCTTTGTGCTCTTTACTATATGCACGTGTCTTGAATCAGAAAAACAGATTTTAAAGTTAAAACTATTTATTTTTCACCTTCAATTTTTAGACGTTCAACAAATTTAATTTTTTATTTTTATAATTTATTAAAAATAAATTAGTTTCCGCTATTTGATTTTTATTGTGCGATGTCTTTTATACAAAAATATGATGAAAAAAAAAAAAAAAAATTTACATCAAATATGATGTTAAAGTTCAAACATCATAAACCTATGTTATTATTAAGCCTAAGTAATTTTTCAAAATTTTTAGTTGCGCTGAATTATAGATAAATGAATAATCTCAACAACAACAACAACAACAACAACAACAACAACAACATCAACAACAACAACAGCAACAACAACAACAACAACAACAACAACAAAAGATTTTATTCGTTCGAGTAAAACGTATGGATGTTTTTAATTTGGTTTTATTTATTAAACCACCAAATTGTGTATTTTCTAGAAAACTCTCTGAAATGTGCTGTTTAAAATATTTTACAAAAATGTTTAACTTATTTTGTT